TAATAGAAGTTGTTTTTGCAACTTTGCTTCTTGAAGAAAGTCTCGTCCCGAAGCCGATCTCTCTTCATTGCCTTTGCTGTGGGTCTGAACGATCAAACGCCTGTTCTGTACCTTCAACTTCATTTTTAGCAATCTTTCCTAAAATGAATATAGCCTTCTATGTTCATTCATGGTATCATTGACGTCTGATCTTTGCCTCACACTTTTTTGGTTTTTCAGCAGGCGCACTATGGTTGGCGCGCTTGTCTGCCGATTTTTCTGTTATGGATGAAGTAGGAGCAGTGCGGCTGCTACTGCATAATAATTATGATTTTAGGGTTCAAACACCAACAGGATCGAGTCCAGTAAGATCCTGATTATGGCATACTGGAAGATGTAAATTTGGTAGAAATTAGTTACCCTTGGGCAAATGGTAGGTCCTTTTAATGCTTTACTACAGTCAGCCGACGCTTTTTTACCTGGGTCAAGGTAGACGAAATATTTTTGTTCTCTTGTTACGCTCCTCCTAGTCTGGACTTACAGGAATTTGAGCAGCTACTCTCCAAAATCGTGACAGAACCCAGGGGCAAGTCTCCGCTTATCCTGGCCGGCGACTTTAACGCTTGGTCTACTTTCTGGGGTAGCAATCACACCAACGCTAGAGGAAGAGTACTCTTGGAATGGTTCTCTCAACTAGATGTTGTGCTTCTGAATACTGCCGAACATACATTCGAAGCAGGCCGAAATCGGTCTGCCATCGACTTGAAGTTTGCTTACTCTGCACACCACCAGTGCACAGTAGAAATGTCTGCTTGAAACGTAGATGAAAACATCGACTCTTCGATGAGGATATCTTCAAACTGGTCAGAGTCACCAGCTCGGTAATATTGCATGCAGCTCCTATCTGGGCTTCTGCTATGCGAATAAGCTCATACGCTGCAGGCGCAAAAAGTACGTACCGGCTAAGCGCGCTACGCGTAATCAGTGCTTTCCGCACTGTATTGGATGATGCTGCATGTGTTATAGCAGGTATGCCCCCACTTGATCTGCTGGCCTACGAACTTCGAGAAATCTGGCACAATAGATTGCCGAAGGATGAGGCACGCAGCACTACCATGCTCACATGGCAACAACGGTGGAATGACTCGATGAAAGGGAGGTGGACACATACCCTGACCCCAAACCTTATTGCATGGGTACACAGGACGCATGGTAAGGTGGATTTCCATCTTACTCAGATCCTAACTGGGCATGGAGTCTTTAAACAGTATCTTCATCACTTCAAACACGAAGAAGATCCATTTTGTCCCAGCTGTGAAGGGGTCGTTGAGGATGCAAACCATGTTCTCTTCTCTTGTCCACGTTTCAACGAAACCAGAGCAGAGATGAGTGAAGCTATTGGCGAGCCCATCTGCCCGGAAAATTTAATTTTGAAGATGATTTACTCGCTGGATACATGGCGATTGATATCGACCGCTACTACAAGGATCATGACCCAACTTAGAGTCATTGAACGGCTTTGTGCCAGCGAACGCGCCACAAGAGAGGTTTCACCTCAATAAATAGGACAGTTGCGAACTCAGACGACATAACTAACGATTTGAGCTGAGCTCAGGACGCCTTTCTGACGTAATACCTAACGGTAGTTCCAGGAGGGACTCTCCGTCCGGACATGAGGACATCTCTGATAGTTCTTTGTAGTATCTACAAGCCAGATCGACATCAGGTCCCTCGACCATTGCATAGACAATAAGTAGGAGACCCGTAGTCAGCAGACTTGCCTGTAGCTAAGCCCCTACACCACGTCAAGGTGCTTACCACGTAGGGTACTTCTAAATAATGGAGAACACACATTTGAAGCGAAGCGGAACCGATCAGCGATCGACCTAACATGGGTCCAAGATTCATTAGAACCCCGTGACACTTGGTCGGTAGGTGACATCTACTCGAACAGTGATCACTGGACGATCCAGTTCGAGATAGACTCACAGCTCACGAGCACTCGGTCAGTCTCTAGACCAAAAGAATGGAAACTCCGAATGCTAGATGCCGTGAAGTTTTACTTGGTTTAGAGCGACCACACTGAAGTTCCCGCCAACGTACAATATCTTACCAATATGGTCAAGTTAAACTGACCTGTGATACCATGCACTATGATTGGTTAAGGCATGTGATGCATTGATGTCATGCGCTACGAATAGACCGGCTACAGCACCAACTTTTTGGTGAAACGATATTATCGCTCGTCTAAGGACAAATTGCATTAGAGCACGCAAGCGGGTGTACCGCTCAAGGGATGAAGCTCTCTGGCAGCAACACCAGGCGAAGTTTGCGGAAGGAAAATGGGAAATAAAGAAGGCCATCAAGCAAAGCAAACGTCGTTTGCACAAGGACATTTGCGGGGAAGCATCCGCCGACCCTTTTAGGAAACGACATAAGGTAGCTATGAGCACGATAAGAGGAGTCAGGTCATCACAACCAACTGAACTAGGATTGTTCCGAGATATCGTATTAACTCTGTTTCCATGTGTGGAAGACAGGATAAACTTCCTGTGCGTGCTAATACTAGAACCGATCCCTGAGGTCACCACGACAAAGGAAGAACATGCCACAAAACGACTGAAAAGCAACAAAACTCCGTGTCTGGATACTATTCCGAGCGCCGCACTATCCTTAATTCTTAAAGCTGACCCAGCTATATTTGCCACTCAATTTACGCTGTGCTTCAAAAAAGGATTATTTTCTGGATGCTGGAAGAGACAAAGACAAGTCCTTACACTGAAACCAGGAAAGAATCTCCGAATCTCCAGGAGACAAGTCTCTGATTAGACTCCTTGATGAATTCGGAAAGACCTTCGAGAGCGTCATAGTTTGAATGAAGTCCTCGAACACCCAAATGGCGTAAAGCAACGGCAGTTCGGCTTGAGGAAAATCGTTCTACACTTGGCGCAATCGATATGGTTGTCAAGATAGCAAGAGAATTTACTTCAGATTCTAGATGGAGAGATGGCTCAAAGGAGTATTATGCAGTAGTCACACTTAACGTAAAGAATGCATTCAACTCAGCAAAGTGGTCGCACATTGTACGCGCCCTCACAGTTTTACAGGTACCAAAGTACTTGAAGTCTGGAATATTTGTCTGATCACGGAGTACATAGGCACGCAGTGTCCGACGGAGTGTTCTGCGGAGTTGCTTGGTGTTGGCACCCACAATCTGTGTGTTGAAGACCGATTTTCCAGAAGGTTGTCAATTGATTGGCTATGCAGACAACTTGGTGGCAGCTTGCTAGGATTATAATGGGGACATCTGACGCGTAAGATAAGCTGTGAATATTCTAAGTTACATTCTACTAAGAATACGCACTCTATCGTAGTTTAATGAACGCAACAGCTGTTTAGCCTGACGATTACACGCCAGCAGCAACTACTTTCGGGTACAAACTATTTTTTATGTAAATATTTTTACGAAGCCAAAAAAAGCGCGTACACTTAACTAGTACCAAAGTCGAAGAAGGAAGAATGTCAAAAATGAAGCTAAATCATTGTCTGTCAAATGCCAACCTGCTGCTGTCAAAATCACTAAGTATGTGCTGGCATACTGCTAGGTCCACATAGATTCAGTTCTTGTACGACTATCGCGGCCTAGTCGCCATTAATCCCTGTGTGAGCAGGCACCAACCAATAGCACAACTCTGCTATGAGACCAATGCCCTAAATGCTAGTTGAAATGCCAGCGTTTGAAAGACAATAGGCCTTATAAATACTTCCTTAATTTTTAAACATTAAGTGTTCCTCAGAAGGGTAAAACTCATTATGGACTACAATGCCATTGCGGTACAGATACGTGTAGTATCTGCCAAAATCATTCAGGCAAATCTTTGCAACTTGTTGGATTTAGCTATAACAGTACTTTGTTGCGCCTTATTCTAACAAATAAGATGTGCATAAGGTACAGTAAGTCTAACCATTGAACTGTAAAGCCACAAAAGAGTCCACCTGACCCAAATAGCTTTATCAATAACGTTTTTCAGGTAAATCTTCCAGTTAAGATGTAGAGACGTTTATCCAGTGTAATCTCCAGATATTTAATCTTTTCCGATCAGTTAACAACCGTATCTACTATAAATAAGGACCAAATAGTTAAACCTTTTAAGGTTAATATTTAGGTCACCTTTAATATTTTGTGCACCAGTTCAAGACTATCTGCAAGATCACTTACATTAAGCATATAAGTTTAGTGTTTGTCAGTTACAATGATTTCGTTTAGGTCATGGATTACTAGTGTTCCTAGCAATGGTGAGAGAACCACTCCATGCGAGTTGCCCCGTTCAACATTGATGCTAACAGTTGCGCCACTTACTTTAGAACATACGTTCCTATCACGTAACACTACATCTATCCACGCTATAGTACTCGATTCAATATTTTTTTGGACCAAAGCCCCAGATATGGGTATTGTATGTGGTATTGTCAAGAAATGCACATACGACAATTTATTTAGATAAAAAGGGGTTTTAAATTTTGTTAAAAAGATGGTGCACCACGAATAAAGTGGGACAATACACTCTGATTTGTTGCAAATGTGGAGATGAAACAGTCTTTCTGTAGTATTCAGTAAGAAGGTTTGAAACTGATTTGTCTATGAGATCACATTGACTCATCTCTCGAAGTGCTTTTTAAATTATTGAAATGAAATGAAAATCATTAAAACGCATTTGCAAAACCTTTCCATTAAATATTAAATTTATATTTTTATATTTTAAATAACATTAGATATAAAATCTGTATATTTCTTGTTAAGATTTGCAACGCAAACGACTACTTAAATTTTGACATATTAGAAAAGCGTATTTGTATAGAAAATTTGGTTTACAATATATTCATATTGAATTATTATATTAGAAATACAATTTATTAGACTTTGATCCAAAGTGCGATTTTCACGCATTGAGTATCAACATTTGCTTTTAATCTCTGATTAGAAATCAATACTACAAACAAATTTAATACCTGGCAATACTATTATTTTTGAGCAGAATCAAGCGCGAAAATAAAATTGCGGGTTTTTATTCGCTTATTACACACGCAAGGAACAATACGGTATGAAAACCAAAAAAGCTGAAAGTGCTTCTGGAGAAACTGCAACTAATTCAGGGACCGAAGAAGCGTACGTTGTTGAGAAAGTATGCGGAAGAAGAGTTCGTAAAGGCAGAGTCGAATATTTCCTAAAGTGGAAGGGTTATCCCGAGGAAGAAAATACTTGGGAGCCTCAGAAAAATTTAGATTGTCAAGACTTAATACAGCAATATGAAAATCAGAGGGCAAAAGATGAAGCTTCAGCTTCAACAACGAAGCCCGAAAAACCCAAGGACAAAGATAAAGAGTCTAGTGGTCAATCGAGTTCAGCTGGCGTCAAGCGAAAAACTGATGAGCGCAATACGAGTGCAGGAACTGTTAAAAAGAAGAAGCGCCGTGAATCTAATACTGACAAAGATTCTGTATCAGACATGTCCTTCCAAGCTAATGAGTTGAATGGTTTTGATAAGGGCTTGGTTGCCGAGAAAATACTGGGAGCGTCTGAAGTAAATGGTTCGTTGACATTTCTTATTCAATTTAAAGGAAGCAAGCAAGCTGAAATGGTACTGTCAGAAATAGTAAATGAAAAGGTACCCCAGATGGTTATAAAATTTTACGAAGAACGATTATCGTGGTATTCTGACACAGAATGATTAGTTTTAATAATATTATTTAATACAATGCATTTAAATGAAACTAAATAAGTAGAATAAATAGTTTCGAAATTTATTGAATTTTGTGTATGGATTGTATATTTAATGATTTTACTACAGCTTTTGTGTGATGGTGTTTGCTACATTGTTGTTAATGGTACCATTGATTTGCTGTTGTATTGTTTGTTGTTGGGAAGGAGTTTGTGTATTTGCTATGCCATTCGGTAAACAAGTGTTGCTTCCTTGTTGTTGCGCTTGTTGGTCAGTCGACTCTGCCTGATTTTGTCCGGTAGTTACTGAATTTAAAAGTTTAATGCGCTTTCTCGTATAATGTTGCCACTGCAAAATAGCTTGATCATCAATAAACTTGCAACATTGGGAGTTAACAATTTCACGCCGAAAATGTTCGTATTGCAGAAGGTCAAGAAAATACAAACACATCGGGTACATCAGATATTTTGCATACTCTGGTTCCTTCCAATATTGCAAATATTTTAAATAGTTGATGAACGTTTGATCTTTGAAGTATCCCCGTTGAGCTAGGTCTGTATAAAGTGAAATTTTAATTAATATTAATTAAAGACTATTAAAAAAATTATACAAACAGTTTAAATAATTAGGATTTGCCAAACATTGTACAAACTCCAACTCAACTTGCCATCGCAGTCTTTGTTGCTCTTCTGATTCTATTGCAGCTATATAAGTATACATATATACATTACACAAAGTTCAATTTTTAAAGATCGATTTAAAACAATTTTTCACACAAAATACATATTACATAAAATTTGCTAAAATATATGCATTATAATTTGTATACTTACTCTTACCCTTTCCATACATTTTGGCCATTTTGACGCATGGAAGGGTTTGTTTTTTGTTTCTCAGTTCGTAGAACGTTTGGTGGCGAGAGCGAAAGTATATAATCAAAATATCAGATTAAGTATGACTTTCGTTGCGTATCAGTAGAGTAAAGTATCAGTAAACGGTAGCTGTATAATTTTTAAATCAGTAGAATTCGATACACGAGAGCTGTGTTTGGTGTTTCTGAATCCGTAGCTTATGTATATTGCAAGTACAAAAACTAAATGTCATATGTTTGCGTTAAATATGTACGTAGTATAACAAGTATAACAAATGAAACAATAAACATATAATTGCAATTCACTAAACTAAATTAAATTCTAAACAAGTAGGACGCAGATACTAACACTATACGGAGTTACTTTTTATTTGATAATTCCAAAAAAACTGCTTACAAACCGTATGTGTTCATTGCTTAAATGAAGTTTTATTAAATTTTAATTGAGTATATTGTTAAATTAATCTGTTTCGGTGATTTAATATTGTGGAAAATTATAATATATTTGGAATCATATGTAAAATATTTTCATTCACAATAGAAAAACATCTCATATCGAGCAAGCACAATAAACGTTTCATTTGAATAACAAAACCAGAGAATATCTTTTATAGGATGGAAACTCCGCCCAACTCAATCAAAACTAAGAGAAATTGCTTAAGAAAATTCATTTTTTATAACATTTTTGTCACACGTATTAAGTAAGTGTGATTACACCACACTTATGTCACTTTTACGCTCTAACAGGGCTGCTGCATAACTTTTTCTGAAATTTAAAGTTATATGACATTAATATATGGTACATAACTTATATAAAAAAATTGTACACTGAAAAATAGAAATCATTAATTTTTTTAATAGTAATTCAGTGTTAAACAAATCAAAATTGATATTATAATTTATTTTACTTATTTTTAGAAATAAATAACTGAGTATATAGCATTTTTTTAAAAATAAAACATTGCTTAAGAAATTTTCATTTTTATTAATTCGTAAAACGAATTTTGTAGACAGGACCGAATAGATAGTTGATGCGTGAGGGTCTGCACGCACGTCAACGAGCATCGTTCGATTTCTGCCTACAAAATTTCATTTTATGATTTCGTAAAACAAATTTTGTAGTGAGTACCGAATAGATCGTTGATGTGCAAGAATCTGCGCGCACGTCGTCAATTTTTGTGGTGAGTATTATTAATAAACATTTTGGGTTACTTAATTGAATATTATTGTTTTTTTTATGTATCTTCCACGCCACCTTTAAGGCACATTACCGAGTTTTATGTGCCGGTTTTCCAGGAGGCGTAAGCACCATATTTTTAAATTTTATTTTATTGAATATAAGATTATAGTAAAACTCCATAATAATTATCATTATTCGGAGCGAATAAGGACCTTAATTTGTTCAAGTTGGAAATAATCGTACGTTTTGAGATGGTATTAGTACAATTTCTGAGATTGTGTTTGTCATTTTGTGTCGTGCTCATTATATAAAATGTTCCGTTCTATATAAAATCTTCTTTGTTTTGACATTTCATATGGGCACCATTTAAATTTGTTGTTGATTAATGTTAAATATTCACGCATTTATTTTAAAAATGGAAATTGAGCGTATTTTCATGTAAGTTTTGATTTATTTTATAATTCATTAAAAGACTTTTATTGTTCAAGAATGAACACAGTTTATTTTATTTTATTTATAAGTTATTTTTTAATTTTTTTAAAACTTATTAAAAAATTGTTATAAAATAACTAGAAAAACTAATATATAGTATAATTAAACATCTTAAATTATATCAAATTTTAAACAATAAATAAATTTAATATTATATCAAACCATTTTATCCTGTTTAAACTATTTTTTATCAAAATATCAACAATTTTGGTTTTTTCACTTAACTTTGGCGTAATATTGATATATATATCAGAATCTCTTTTGTTTTAATTTGCAAATTCATTAAAACACAGTTGATTTTAAAACTGAATGCACTTTTACTCGGTTACCGAGTGTGTTACTCAAATTCGTGAATACCCCTAATTAAAGAAATCAATAAAATTTAAACTCATGATGCTATAATCCATAATTTCCTTGAACATTTTTGGCCCGAAGTATTTTAATTCCATTAAATTAATTGTAATTCCACTAACAATTACATCCAGATTAGAGCCAATATGGGCGAACGAACGTTTGCACAAATACGTCCGAATTATTTTTGGTGTGGACGAGTAAAAACTTTATAGCAAACTAAGCGAACGATCGAAAATTTGTAAGGCGAACTAGACGATGAAGCAAATGTTTTGAATCTTAGAGCAGATGAAGCTGCCAAATGTTTACTGATGATGTCAAGTGGCATAAAGTGAAGCATTAGATGTACCACCCTAGATGGTGTTGTACACAGAGCACCCTTAATGCAGAGTTCAGTCCTTTGGTGAACCCTGTTAAGTACAGTGCAGTACGAAGATTTATCAAAGATGTCCAGCATATGGTGATGTCATGCAAATGTATTGATCTAATGACAGCCGTGTATATGCAATGAGCAATGCGTGGTTATAGTTCCCATTTTTTATCCAATAGCTTTCTGACATAAGAGTAGCACAATGTTGGCTTTCTTAGCGCGTTCTAAAATATTTTCTTTCCAACAAAGTTTTCTATCGAAAATAATACCTAAAATTTTTGCTTTCTCAGTGAATTGTATCGCAGAGCCTCGAATATAGGGTGAAGAAAGGTTGGGAAACTGAAAATGGCCCATTTTAGTGTCTGCAGGTTTATCTTGAAAGGCTTTACCGTTGAAAAGTTTGAACATTCAGAGGATTCTGCCAAAGCAGATGATCCTGGGAAGTGGGTATCTAGTAATAAGTCCAGCGACTCCCTACTATTATTAGACCAAGTCCCATCCGGTTTTCTGAGCAACTCAGCGACAAATGGAATTTTGGACAGGATCTAGAGGTTTCAGAATCATTATTTATTCTTGTCAATATGATTGTCAACTAGTCCTCTTAAAGTTGCGTAATTTTTTCTTATATTTCTGCAGAGAGATCTTTTAGTCGGACGTGACTTGTCCCACTCGTCTCATTTCTATTCAGCTTTGCCCTATTAAAAAGTCCCCTGCATTATATTTGACGGTGATGTCTAGGACTTCTTGCCTATTTTTGGTAACAAAGGTGGGCCTATTGCCGTCATTATATATAAAGACGTTATTACTAAAAATAATATCAAAAAGTAACCTACCACGTTTATTTGTTTTTGAGCTACTCTACACTTCAAGATTGGCGTCGCAGCCCAAAACGATTTCCGCACCATGTCTCCTAGCGCTGTTAATCAGCTGTTTTAGGTTACTTGATGCTATTTTATCATGATCTGCTCTGATGCAATTAAGGGAGCTAGAGATAAACCGGACATAGTAACGTTCATAAACATTAGTGAGTCAGAGGTGGTAGGCAGATTTTCTACCAGACTCGCTATATTTGCGATATCAGGTAACATGTCGCCAACTTCCGTTTGGGCGTCAACAGTGCCTTGCGGTGCTGCTGGACCTGTTGGATTAGGTGAGGATTGCTTCTCATCCTTTTTGTATATCCTCATAGTTATGGCTGATAAATCGTAGTTTATGACACCACCTGATTTCGTCAAAGTGGCCAAGGATGTTTTGTCAATCACAAAACTGACTGACCTATATTTGCCCTTGGGCTACTCTAGTTTCATGATCTTCCACGTTTATGTCTTTAGCTGACGGTTTTCTAGCCGAATAAGTTGCAGAAACCGCTGAGGATCGGATGGTTGGGTTGGGATCCCGAAACGCAGTAGGGGTTTGTTCCTTAACAACAACCTTAAGTTTGGCGCCTGGCCATACCTCACCAATTCTGAAGATGGCTTTCGACATAGATGCCGAGGAACTTAAGCTCAATTACGTCCCACTTAGCAGGTGTTATTGTACCATTAGGGTCACTTTCATCAATGACTTCCATTATTATAAAACCATTCAGCATATCGCTAAAGTATTTCGCAGTTGTGGCGATACCATGAAGTTTTGCCTTTTTGGCATTTGGTTTAGGAACTAACTCATCTAATGAGGGTTGTCTCTTCGCCGCAGAATCCTGCTTGTCCTTCGAAATACTGAGGACCTGCTTTGTTCAGGCAATCCTGACTTCATAGATCCGGATGTAACCGAAACATCGCAATATCTTTCGAGCAGTCTAGTCGCCGCTCGGCGTTCTTTATAACTCCTCCTCGATGGAAGGTCTGACCGAATTTGTGGTCTAGAACGCGAGGATACATATTTTGGTGTATTGATGAGCACCTTTTTATTACCGCTAGAAGGCGTGGTGGTGCCCAAAGGTTTTGAGCTCTGTATAGCCGAGCTCTCCGCTATTGAATTATTTTATTTTTTGATTCAGATAAAGTTTAAATCTACAAGTTACGAAGAAGAGGAAGCCTCCGGAGAACTGGTGCTTTATACCTAGCCTTGTGTAACGGTCGTACGTCTTATTGGTCCGACTTATAACCATATATTATATGGTGCATTATATGATGTTTTCAGTGGTAGTCGCATGGCATCGTCGTATACGAAAACATGAGTGCATTTTTCCAACTCGTTCTGTACGAAGAATTTAAGTTTTGAGTGTAGGGATATTGGTACTGGTGGAATGGAACTAATCTTCACAACTAAAAATAGAAGGAAAGTTCTCGATATTACCCTGATTAGTGAACACTTCTCACATTTTCTTACTAACTGGTCCGTATCGCAAGATTGTTCCTTTTCAAACTATAGGTACATAATTTTCGATCTTTATCTGGCGGTGAACTCTGAAATAAACAGATCCCCCAAGCCAATTAATAGGAAACGTATTGAATGGTCCATTTTCCGATCCACCCTGGAGTCCAACTCACAATTGGTCCCTCTCACTATTCTCAACTGTTACATACACCCGGCCTTCAAGCCCTCTGAATTTGAGGGCAAACGCTGACTTTTTATCTGCTCCAAAACCACAGGAAACTAAGCACCGTTCAAAGAGAAACAAAGGAAATTCAAACTACATAGAATCCTCATCTGATTCTAACCGACTGCGCAAAATTCTGAATTCCATCCACAAGACCCTTGATTGTATCCAAGCTCCAATTGACATTCTTCTAGACACACACTTTCCAGGGAGCATACCTTCCGATGTTCATATATCAACACAAGTTGGCTCGCTCTCCTTAGATAATCCCAATCCGTTTCAATTGATCAACACAAATTTAAGTGGGCCATCCAAACCTTGAAACCATATAAATCTCCAGATCCTGACGGCATTATTCCCGCTGAAAAGCAACAGGGCAAATTCGTTATCCTCCCATGGCATCTTAGTATATATTTTAGTTGTCTCAAACTTATGTTTATTCCTAGCTGCTGGAGAGTCGCTCGAGTAATATTCATTCCCAAAGCAGGGAGAACGACACATTCCAGTGCCAAGTATTATAGGCCAATTAATCTTTTTTCCTTCCTGCTAAAAGTGCTGGAGAGGGTTCTTGATATTTTTATCAGAAACACTATAAA